AATCGAGTATATTAAACCGAGTATATATCAATTATTTTTTAAAAATAATTTGTGATTGAAAAGACATGAGAAAGTGAAAAACCATTATAGTAAAAAAAAAAAAAAACCTACCTGTAGTGATAATAGTCTGAGGTCACATAGTCCGACGTCAAGTACTTTGGGTGTCCCGATCTACTTCCAACCTAGTCACCTTGACGGCAGGGAACAACGAGCTCAGCCGAGCTCGAGTTCATCCCCCTTGCTCCTACTCTACAGTAACTTTGTACACGCAGGGATACTATAAGAAAGCCTTTTGGGATTATCGACACATATAATCCTGATTTCTCATGAAGAACAACATGTGGATGTCGCCTTTGAAGGCTATAAATACCCCCCAGGGGCCTTTCTCAAAAGGTAATTGAAACCGAACTCAAGCTCAGCTCTTGATTTATACCTGGTAGCTTTGATTATTGTTGACTTAGGCATCGGAGTGTCTATCCCGAGGACTCACCTTAGGGCTTTATAGGTTTATCAAAGTAGACGGTCGAATTCAGAAGTACTTTGGAGTTCTCCTGCAACTACATTAGTGCCGTCTGTGGAAAACCGAGCTAAAAGCCTTACTAGCGACTGTTACAATAGTCAACACACGTTCAACGCAACACAGAAGCCCTCAACAGGGGCATGGAAGAGGTCAATTCCTCTGCAGGAACCCCACGTCTCACATTGTACCACCTCCTACAGCTTAACACCAGCATATAGAGGGGACCATTGTAACAAATATATAACTAGATTTTTACTTCACAAATATATATTCATTTACTTGATAATGAGTATTTATAAAATTAATTTTAAAATAAGGTGTTGTTTAATTTAACTATATAGAATAATTTATAATTAATAGTGGATATCCAATAGTTTATATTAACGTTATTTTTTATTCAAACACTATTAACCATTATATAATAGATTGATATCAACTATAAACTTTTAAAAACAGTTAAACTCGAACTAAGATTATAAATTTTTAAAAATTACCCTAAACATCTTTACAAAAGAGAAGATAAAAAGGGAAATCAATAGAGGAAGATGAGCTTACATGCTAACAATATGGGGGATGGTGTCATTGGAACAGGTAACAGCATTTTTAAATCCTTCATCTGCATTTGGTGTAACCAGTCCTGACCTTTCATTGCATGGATCTATGCTGATATCCCGGTCTGTCTTCCCCAACGTCTTCGCTATCTCTCTGAACGCTCTCACTGCAAAATTCCAAGCACAACATACATAATCATCATCATCATCATAAAAATTAAAAAAAAAAAGTACAAGAAGAACTGAAGAAATAAGTTATATAGAAGACAATATACATTCGTCATCTGGTAATAAGGATGCAAATACAAAGTTTGCGAGGAAAAAGACAATGAGAGAATCGAGAAGAAGACGAGGAAATAGCATGGCTTGAACAAGTTGAAGATTGGTAGAAAAAGAGATTCGGGCAGCTGTATGAGAGAATGAAAAATGATAAGAGGAGGGGGTACTAAATTGGTTGACTGAAAGAGAGAGAGAAGTAGAGAAATGAGATGGCGATGAGAGTAGACCTCGAAAAATCAAAGTCAAGTATACTATGTTTATGTTACGTGAGAGAACAAATAATTGAATCATTGTCCCTACAAAATTACTTTTCAAACTCTGCAACTTGCATGAATTCTTAATGAGGTGAGTGAGATGTATACCGTGTATATATATGTTACATGAATACGGCATTTTTTTTTTCTTTTTCGCCATATGGATGTCATGTATCTAATACAAGTGACTTAAATTTTTTTGAGTTAGGTTCCTATGATATGTTTGGGTTGAGGGGAGTGGAGAGAAGGGAAATAATAAGTTTTTTCAACTAATTATATAATCAGATTGCTATATTTGAAAATATTATAATTTAATTGATTAAAAAACTTGTTTCTTCTTCGACTATTATCTTCAAACCAAATATATTCTTAAAGTGAAGATAGATAATATATCTTTTATTCTAGAAGTTTGTTTGTTTTTTGTTTTTTGTTTTTTTTGGTTTTTTGAATTGAGATTGAATGGAAGTCATGGATTGCACTGTTTTTGTTTTAGCTTTGGTAGTGGATTGATTGTATCATTATAACAAACAAGGAAAATAAATATATACAACTGAATTCAAGAGTTCATAATTGCACGTCTCATGATTAGACTTGTAAATAATTGACTTGAGTTCCTCAGAACTTGAACTCCACTCAATATTATAGTAATTAGTAAAATCAATTTTGAGTTTTACGAATTTGGGTATACTAAGCTTGAACTCGATTCAAAAACTTAAATAAATTCACAAACTCAATTGATTATTTAAATTTAATTTAAAATTAAAATTTAGTTTAAATATTTAAAATATATAATAATTTTTTAATACAATTAAATAGAACTAAGTCAAGTTGAGTCAAACTAAATTTTCGAATTCACTAGATTTTGACTCAACTCAATTTTTCGGGCTCATATTTAAGCTTGAACTTGAGCTTGATTCTTACTCTAGCTCGAATCGAATCAAGCTCAGCATGAGTTCGAATCAAGTAACTCAAATCATTTACTGCCCTTGCCATGGCTATTGATAATAAGTTTTTTTTGTACTAACCTTTCGGTATTCGATAATTACATTGAATTTTGATTAATACAGAGTCGAGCTGCATCGGATCCCATAAAGGAGGAAGCGCTTCTAATACCTGTTTTTTTCATTCACGAAACTTGAACTTAAGATCTTATTTAAAGGAAACTGAATTTCTTCCACTCGAATCAATAGGTTGTCGGTCATGGCTCTTGATAATAATAAAAAGGTTAAATACCCTTTTTGGTTCCTCTACTATAGGAAAAAGCCCTTTTTTGGTCCTTGTCCAGAAAAAATCCCCTTTTTGGTCCATAAATTTTAAAATCTAACCCTTTCTTAGTCCTTTCGTTAAATTTTGACTGATGTGGCAGGTTAATTAACGAAAAAACTCATTTTTTTTTTACTAAATTACATGGAAAATCTATCTAGTAAAAATTGATGATATGGTTAAATTTTTTACCTTTAATTACTAATTTACCCTCAAAAATTGATGACATAATTAAATTTTTACCTTTAATTACTGATTTACCCTCATCTTCTGATGATAGCTGATGTTTTGAAAATTTTTACCTTAAGGGACTGTTGACAGAGGGTTTCTTTTGGATCCCTTCTTTGGGTGGACCAATTACTATTGTTGTTCGACAAAGTGGAGCAAGCATTTCTTGGCTTATTCCATTTGTGGTAACAAACTTGCTTCCCAGACTTTTGAATCCAAAAAATTGAGTTGCTGCTCTAATGTATGGTCAAATTTTAAAGCTGTTTCTCTTCACGAAATTTCGATCATGCTTTGATCAATGATAATATGCTGAACCTTTTGTGATCTAGTCATTATGTGTTTTACAATTTTCCTTCGAAGTTACCCTTGTGAAGCACAGTTTTGGCAGAAAGACGGGCAGATCTGTTATTCCTTAAAATAATTTGCCTTGCAATTTTTAGATGTTTAGATGCCAAATTTTATGTTAATGTTCCATTTGGGGTTGACTGAAAAACCAAAAATCACTCTCTTCTTTCTACTATAGGCCTTTGTCGCGAACCCACGAGTTGGGTTCGCCTAGAGGTAAAAGAAAAAAAAAGACTGGGGAAGGAGAGGATGGGGAAGAAGATGGGGGTAAATTGGTAATTAAAGGTAAAAAATTTAACCATGTCATCAATTTTTGCTAGATGGATTTTCCACGTAATTTAGTAAAAAAAAAAAGTTTTTCCGTTAATTAACCTGTCACATCAATCAAAATTTAACGGAAAGACTAAAAAAGGGTCAGATTTTAAAATTTAAGGACCAAAAAGGGGATTTTTTGGTACAGTTACCAAAAAGGAGCTTTTTTCTATAGTAGAGGGACCAAAAAGGGTATTTAACCTAATAAAAAAGAGAAAAATATCCCAAATGATTGTATTTAGGAATTGGATTATGTAGCATGTGTTCTACTAATGTAATTAATGCACTCTTTAGACCTTAAATTGTACTCTTCATCTACAAATTATATACCTTTTTATGCTAAATAAGATAATATATAGACTTTTTTATTTAGAATTTGTCCTAGGTTAATAGTTATTTTTTATATCTTAAAGAAAACAATTTTTTTAAAAACTTTAGTCTTATTATTATCCCTTAGTTTTAATTATCCATTTTACGGAATATTACAAAAAAAAAGTCTTTCTTTATTTTTATCTATTTTTAAGGGTAATATAAATAAAAACATAATTTGTCCCTAAATCCTTAATTTGAAGATAAAAACAATTGTCTATCATCCTTGGATTAAGGGAGTATAAAAAAAAACCAAAAGTTACATTTAATTTTACTACTAGTGTTATGTGGATTATTTTAATTGTTTAGTTGATTAAACAATGATTAACTTTTATTTTTTCAATGATATTTAATATCATCTCTAGTATATTTTATGATGAGTTAAACTTTATTTTATACATATTAATGTGGAATTTTTTTTTATATCACTGATAGTTTTATGAGATTTACGTAATTTTACATAGTTTTCATTCTTTGTGAAGGGAAGGACTTCATTAAAAGAAATCATAACTTTTAGGACCAAAATGGAGAAATAAAAAATCTGAGGATTAGATTGTGCAGAACTAGAAATTATGGATCCGTTCTGTAATTTTGCCATTAACCAAAAATGCTTTGGAAGCTTGAATCCCGACGCGAACTTTTCTTCGCAGACACAATGAAGGCGTAGGCACCTTGTTTTAGTGGTCGATCTCTTGTGTGATTTTCAGTAAGTTCGTATCTGTCATTATAATTTTGGTATAGATTCCACGTCTATTCCAATTAAATTTTATAAAATTTTATAAATACACATCCAAAATTAAGTTCTTAGGGAGTTTTTAAGAGAAGGTTGGTGGCAGCTTTTTTGGGACATTTTTAATGATCAAGATAAAGGAAACAACAAAAAAAAAAATATTAATAGTAGAATATTAAGAATTTTAACTTTTTTTAAAAAATTAAATTTTATTTTTTTAGATTATTTTTATCTATTATTTGATATTTTTATATTCATAATTATAATTCAAGTTTCATTATTTTTACTATGAATTAATTTAGCCAATTAGGGTTACAATATAGGGTAATCAATTTAAGATAGATTTTTATAGTTTTTTTTTATATACTTTTGAGATTATTATTTAATGATGGCTATAAGTTATTGTTCTTAATGCTTCAAATTATGTGGAGAATATAATTGAGACCAATAGAAGATTTTATGCAATAACTTTGAATAATATATACCACAAATTGAATAAAAACTAGAAATAAACCAACATAATTTGTGCAGCATTAATGGTAAGTAGATTTAATTTTTTACGTAAATTAGAGAATTTTACAGAATATTATGTACGTTTATCTATTTAAATTTATATAGAAATATAGTTGGATAATAGGTGAAAATAGATTTAATATAACTTGAGAAAATATATCATATAGAATAGAAAATTTTGTTGTTATATGAGTAGTAACATCTTAAAAACATATTAATTTAAAATTTATATTGATTAATTATAGTGAAATCGAATATCTTAATACCTCATATCATGATTATCTTTATTTAATTATTATTATTTAATTATTTTTAATCAAAGTTGTTTTTTTTATTGTTCAAATAAATTTACAATTAATTAATTTTGATATTCAATTAATTACAATTCTTGTTGATTAATATTCGATACTCTACTTATTACTATATTATTTGGAGTGATTAATATATTTGTTGAAGTGATTTTAGCATATCATTTTACTTGTCACATTTTCAAAAGAGAAATAATACAATTTTTTTTTTTTGTCAATGTCAATTTTCAATATAACATTAAAGTCTTCTTTTTCAATATTTTGGTGTTGGTGGTGGCCTTACCCACCTCAAGCTCACAGCTTTCATCGAATGGTTGGTTGGAGAAAAACTCACATAATTGCATTAAGATTCCTACAAATTGTTCACTTTGGATATATATATATATATATATATATATATATATATGCAATTGTACTTCAGTTGTTGACTTACGTACCCAGTCTTTATTTTTCTTAAACAAAACACTACTAATTAGGCTTCTTTTTTTCATTTTTTTTGGCCGTACACTACTTAGGCTTCAGTTTGAAGATTAAATTAATGCATTGGTGTATGACTTGCACTCCAGTATTCCATCGGACACACAGGTGATGTAATTATATTTGTTTTAGTACTAGTGAATATGTAATGTAATTATGTTACGAGATAAATAAAGACTAATCGTTAAGGGATGAATTAAGATTCTGTATTTAAATTTTGGTTAAAACTCTTTTTTGGTCCCTGAATTATTGTACAGACCCCCGATTTAATCCCTGAACTAAAAAAATCCCTGATTTGGTCCCTACTGTTTACC